AACCCTACAGAAATTTGGTATCACAGGATGGATGTCAACAGCCATTCTCTCATACTCCCACCCATTAGCCAGAGTACTAACAAATGGAACACTATCAGACCCCTTCAATATCACCAATGGTACTAGACAAAGCTGCCCACTATCTCCCATAATATTTGCATTGCTCATTGAACCCTTAGCTTCTAAAGTTAGAGACGACCCGACGTTTACTGGCATCAAACACCTTAACGCAAAACATAAAATTAGTCTATTTGCAGACAACATCGTATTAATGATAACCAACCCAAACAGATCCCTCCAAACAAATACGTACCCACCTCCTAAATTTCTCAACGGTTTCATATTATAAACTTAAACCCAAATCTCCATACGCCGCACCAAACCCAAGTACTACTTGCCAAACAATTTCCCTTTTCCTGGGAAAACAATATCCCCTATTTAGGAATCAGACTCACTGCAACAATAGACCAATTATACACCTCTAACCACAAGATACTCAAAACTATCCCCCAAGAAATTACTACCTTCTGCACCTCAGAACTCTCCAAACTAGGTCGAGTAGCGACACTAAAAATGTACATCCTACCCAAAATACTATATATATTTCGCACACTTCCCATACCAATACCCAACACCTTTTCCTCCAAGTTACAATCAATTCTCACCAAATTCTTATGGAACTCTAAAATACCTAGATGTACCACCAATCTCCTAATACGCCCAACATCCAAAGGAGGCGTAGGCCTCCCACATCTAAAATCCTACTATAATGCTACTCTTCTTGACCAAATATATTTTTGGTGGAACCCAACCAGAGAAAAAAAAATCTGGTCTGCAATGGAAACCTTGCCTTTTCTTCCACTTAAACCCCAAAACCTACTCCTAATTCCATCAACACCACAAAGAAACTACCATCTGAAACACCCATGTATCCAAGCCGCTCTACAAGCCTGGTATGATCTTCTGACTACCGAATACACAGATGGCAAACAAATATTTATCCCAATTAACATACTCCATTCCATTACGTCCTCTTTAGATCTATCCTAACGGGAAAAGCGAAATATACATAATATAGCAGACCTTTATATAGACCACACCCTACACTCATTTCAAAATCTCCAAACCAAATTCAATCTTCCTACCACCGAATACTTTACTTACCTAAGAATCGTTCACTGTATACAAACAAAAAATATACCTCATACCACAAAAATTCCATACCTCGCATATCACTTCTTTACCAAACCACAATACCTAGGTAAAGGCATTTTTGCACTATCTACACGTACGTGACAAACCTACAATTCCCTCTAAAATCTACATCCCTAACCAACTGGGGAAAAACCCCTTTCAGAACCAAATTACGACACAAGCATGGGAAAAAAAAAACATTTAACACCACTTACAAATCCTCCCGATGTAGTTTGCACTTGGAATCATACCTAAAAATTCTCCACCAATGGTACTTAACCCCTGTCAAACTAGCCAATTACTACCCAAAACACTCCTCTTGTTGGCGTCAATGTGGAGACGTAGGATCAACATTACATATACTATGGTCCTGTAAATAAATCAGATCCTTTTGGAACAGTGTCTTCCAGTTAATCTCTGAAATATCCAAAACATCGATAACCCCAAACCCTTCACTTGCACTTCTACACATTGGGATTGAAAAACTCCCTTACAACTCCCGTACTATCACTGCCCACACACTCTTCGCAGCCAAAATCAATATAGCCAGATTATGGAACACTACCACTGCTCCTTCCCTCAAGTCACTAATCACAGACCTTAATTTCCAATGTGAAATTAAAAAAAAGATCCGCCTTTAACAACTCTACCCAACACAAATTCAAACTCCAATGGACTCGCTGGTTACAAAATCCTAACTGCTCGGTACAACTCTGATACTATGCATACCACTGCATTACCCACCACCTTTAGACTGGTACCCCCCCTTTCTCCACCCTGTTACATTTACCCCCCCCCCCCTTCCCTATCCTCCTCACTACCCACCCTTATTCAGTACCCCATTATCACCTCATACATCTTACCAAGGTTCTACACATATCCAAGACTACCTCTGATGTTAATGCCTTAAATCCTGCTATTAGCCCCAGCCAACTAGTAGGGTAAATACTCTGTATCATCTTGATGTTCTATAAATACATTTGCTATTGAACCGAATATTCCTACTATGTTCTGTTCTTGAAAATCTTCAATAAAAATATTTATTAAAAAAAAATTGTGCAACCGCAACAAACATCAGTACACAAAAACTGTCCACATGCCACACTTCCTTTGCAAGTACACATACACATTACATGCAATTATGTACATTTAAAAGGAGCGCTCCCAACCCGGAGTCGCGCAGGCGCACTGCGTGAAAGTCCGACAAAATGGCAGCATAGTGCGCACGTGCCATTTCGCCTATATATATATGCAATCAGCCAGTCACGTCTGTCAGTTCTCCCCTCTGAGGAAGTGCCATTGCACCAAAGGCCTCAGGAGGAACCAGACAGCACGTGATATCACTGCCGCTGGAGCTAGGAGAAAGCCCGCAGCCATCTTAACTCTTAAGGGTTAGTCTTCACATTCCTGTTATTTATGGATGTTACTATACCCTGCTATATCCATTGTTATTTCAATAAAGTTTGCTGAACCTACTATACTATGGACACCTGTTTTCTGGCTCCTTCATGGAGCTATTAAGCCTGCAGGTTACCCCAGCGACACAAGCGTTACCAGAGGAAAAGGAGCCCTGTACTCAGCCTGAGCACCTAATCCATCCTTAAGGGGACGTCTGGATCCAGCAGATTTCTTTGTTATTCCCCATGACTTGATGACTACACCATAGAGTAAAAGTTCACCTGAATATCCTGCCCATCTACAGATACCTTGATGGTTTATATTATAGCGCATTATCCATGCGCTTCCGGTGAGTGCACACTTTAACTATTGGTTGGAGTCACAAGTCTATCTGCTGCTGATTTTTCATTATCCTGGGATTTATTTATATCTGAACTTTACCAGCGGACATTTACAATATTATATGCATACAGGTTGTTCTGTGCTGGCAAATCATTTATTTTTATATATTTTATTTCTTAGCACTACACCCTTACTAAACTATGGATGCACTTATGTTTTTCTGGGTCAGGGATTTAGAATACAACAAAAATGGTGGACCCTTAATTTTCTGCTGCTGATTTTGTTTATGAATGTGCAATCTCCTATATTGCTATCCTCAGAGGCTCCTTTTCATAGTTTAACCACTTCCAGACCAGACACTTTTACCCCCTTCCTGACCAGGGCAATTTTCAGCTTTCAGCGCTATCACACTTTGAATGACAATTGCGCAGTCATACAACACTGTACCCAAATTAATTTTTTACCATTTTTTTTGAGACAGATAAAGCTTTATTTTGGTGGTATTTATTCACTGCTGGGATTTTTATTTTTTTTGCTATGTAAATGAAAAGTCCAAAAATTTGTCCAAAAAAAGTGGTTTTTTTTTTAGAAAATTTTGCAAATAAATAATATTTCATCATAAATCTTTGCCAAAATGTATTCCGTTATCTTTTTAGTAAAAAACAAAAAACAAATTAGTTTATAACCAAAAATTATAATTTTTAAACATTTTTATTTTTTTATATTATTTTTTATTTTTTTTTTTTTTTTTACATACTGTCACCCTAGCAGTACAGTGTTACCATGGTGACACTGTACTACTTGTGGGGAGTGATGAATTTTTTTTTTTTTTTTTTTTTACAATGATTGCTTTTACACCCATATAGCATGTAAAAGCATTCATTTCTCTTTTTCTCTGTGTGCATTCCTGCACTCATTGAGAAGTACTGAGTGAGCTGTGATTGGTCACAGCTTGTCACATGGTACAAGGCTGTTGTGAATAGCCTTGTACCATGTGACCTCTGTGATCATTCACAGATTTCACACGTAGTAAGCAATGATGTCACAAGTGACATCTTGCTTACTACTTTGCAAGTGATCACTGATTGGCCAATCAGTGATCACATGATCGGGACCTCGTACAGTACAGAGGTCCCGTCCGACAATCGGTGTTTCACTGTGTCCGGAGGACACAGCGGGCACCGGATCGCGGTGGTGCGCGCTCCCAGGGAGCGCGCACAAGCAGGGTGCGGGGAGGCCGTTTATAAAAGGCCACCCAACCCTGTACTGCCACCGTCCGGCCGTTTATATGCAACGGCCGGTCGGGAAGTGGTTAAGATTAAGAAAATTTAGGCCCCTTTCAAATGACCGCTCTGATCAAGTCCGCCTGTCAGTTTTTCAGGCGGATCCGATTGGAAAGTCCATTAATCCCTATGGACTTCCGCATTTACACCTGCCTAGCTCCGGATCTGATGGGGGTTCACCTAGGGTTCAATGAAAGGGGATCTTCCTTTTTCCATTTAGGCGGGGGAGATTGGAAAGTAGTTGGGTAAAAGCGGACTGCAGAATCTCGCAGACTCTCGTAGAAGCGGAGTAGACACAGATGTGTCATCCGCATGCTGTGCTCAGATCACCAGGGATCTGTGAGCAGATCTCATGCTGATCAGAATGGAAAATGTGAAAGGGGCCTTAGATTTGGCTCATGTTTGCCCTTGAACTGTAACCATAACTGGTGCACCAGCAAACGTTAAACTTGTTACTGAATTTAAACATTTTCACAGACAAAAAGGTCAGACAAGATATTCTGTAAAACTTTGTACTTTATTCTCTGAAGAGACAGACAAAAGAATCAAAATGTTATATAAACAAAAACAAAGATAATTTGCTGGCTACCCGACATGGTTGCATTGCACAGAAAATTAAACTGTCGCTGTCCAGATCATTAAAATGTAACCGTGTCATTAGGGGAAAAAATACTCCTATAGGAATGTAGGGACATTCACACGTTACTGCTGCACTGCTCTAATACTGAATTACAAGTACAACTGGGCATACAATAGTTGCTGGCAGGACTGGATCTTCTGTATTTACTGGAGTAAAGGTTTAGGTTTTACTGGCCAGAGGTGTGAAGTGGTATTCGCAGAAAGAGCTGTCAAGAGAAAAAAGAATAAAAAACCAAAAGGTTATCACAGCAGTATTATATGCCTTACAGTTACATGCCTTAGAGTTTTACTGTACCAAATCGTAAATAAGAACACCGTTATACAAGAACAGCAGCTCTACGCTCCAGATCCTTCCTGGTTTTCCTCAATAATTTATTTGTTACAGCTACTAGTATTCACAGCAAGTCTCACTAGTATTAACTAGAGTTAACTTTTAGAGGCTGTCATAGGAAAACCAGGACTCAAATCCATAGAATAATTTAATAGTGATGTAAACTAGCACATGTAGGTATGGTATACAAGGACAGACAGGTTTTTTCCATCTTCAAGTGAGCTTAATGTGATTCTGCCCAATAAGTCTGGTTTCCATTTTTTAAATGACTGTACTCTTACAGTTTGGAGTAGGAAGCTTGTCAAAAGTGATGGGTTGACAAACAATTATATTTGCTATTCGGAATGTCAGCTCTTGTGACCTTATAAGCTTCTGCTGCGTAGTATCGTAACGCAGGAAATCTAAGAACTGAACTTACCTGGACTGCCATCAAAAAGAATAAGGCAAACCAACAAGTAAAATACAGGAATTCATCATACAGTGGTGAATACTCATGACAGTGAATGTAGGCAAGGCCCTTACTGCCAGCTGTTATGGCAGTACATTACCATGTAGTCTTCCAAATACATAAAGATGGCATAATACAGGGCCTCGAGGGCACACAATATCAAGACCAAATCTTATTTGCACTATATCAGAGGTCAGTCAGCAAGTGTGGAGAAGGAATCCATTCTATCATACTAAGCTAAACCACAGAAATTAACTAAAAACAGCATCCAAAAGATCCTCTCTACCATTTCATAGAGGGAACAGTTCCTAGGTCAAAGTATGTGGACGTTAACTTGGACCAGATTTTCTCTAAACGCTGATGGAAGACTTAAGCCTATCAAAAACAGATCTTTGATGCACATCTGAGATCATTCACAATTCACTGACAAGTGAATTTGACTTACAATTGACCACCTCCTGACCCACTTTAAGTGAATTTTGTACTTCTCTAAGAGCTTGTGTCAAATGGCTTTTGTCTACTTTTTAGGAGTCTTATATTGGACGTTCACCCCCAGTGAGGAGTAATGGTTGATTGGGGTATACACAGTAATGAACTTGGTTGTGTTGCCTCTTTCCAGCACTAAAATTCAGTCTTGCAGCCAGTCATACCAAAGCTGCCCCAGTGGAGAATCTATTCTAAGGGATCACATCCCACATGGAAAAAAAAAAAAATATATATATCTATCTATCTATCTCTTTCGCAAACTTTCAAAATCAGACGTTTACAAACACTGGCAGCTTGGGATCCCTCGACTCTTGCAATGTGCTGGACAGCTACTGAGAGAAACAGATGAGCTGACACAGCTGACCTCCTAAGACTGCTAGCTACCAGGCTGTCTGTGACTTGGGTACTTTGTTACTAACCTTAAAATGAGCATGTAGATAGAAAAGAGTATAAGGACCCTGTTGCCAAACTATCAGACTATTCATTTCAAGAAAAAATGTCTCCACAATTATTATTATACAGGATTTATATAGCACCAACAGTTTTCTCAGTGCTTTACAATATATATAAGATTATGTGTGTGCTTCGCATGGGTGCTATCTACCTGTAAAGGCCTCACATATGTGCACATCTAATAGTCCTGAGACTGCTGCTGGGTGCCACCATCTTGGTGGTGATTATCAGCTCCATCAGACTCAGAGCTGTCACTCAAGTGACCATCTATTAGTATTCCCTTTCACTCCTCCCCTAACAACTACATAAAAGCTTACATGGAGAGGTGAGGGGTGAAGAAACAGGGCCAGCACAGAGAGACATTATACACTCTCAGAAGAGGAGATGGATATGAAGTACAAGGAGTTCGGGGCTGTGCTTAAAAATGGACTCTCCAGGAGTAATACATTTTCTAGCATGTGAATAAAATCCAGTTATGGAAAGGAAAAGCTCTGCAAGAAAGCATTTAATTTGTTTTTTTTCTGTGCTTTAACTGCAATTTTTAAACTTGGAGACAGGGTCTGCAAGTCAAAACACATGAGCTGTATACTTGTTGCAAGTCAGTGATTAACCACACTTCAGTGATAAATACAGTGATCATCAATACAATGAACAAATGTATTCAGCGCTCACACAATGATGAATAGGACCAGAATGAACCATACTTCAGCCTCTGCCATGTATCCATACATCACCAGGTTGAAGGGGTTATACCGCGAGGATGCCTGCATCTTCACGCATCATCCCAGTATCTTTCTTCAGGCGACGATGTTCTTTAGGGCTCATTCACACCATGGTGCAAATCTGTGTCAGTTTTAATCTGTTTTTTTGCATGTATGGTGTGAACGAGGTCTTAATGTAAAAGATTCTTGAAGCTAATTAGCCACTGAATCATTTTTACAGGCAGCAGAAGGTGGATGCCCCCTCTAGCTGCTTTTCCAGGCTCTCCTGTCCCACCGGGAAGCCCAGGAATGAAGTCAGCACTTCTGCCAGAAGGTCCCTGATCATCTCTATGGTCTAAGAAACCAGAATTGATGAGTATTTTATCATTTCTGGTTTGGCCAGGATGTAAACAAGTCATTTCTGGCTTGTGAGGGCATTAGATCAAACCGATCTGGGTTTGATCTGATGTTGTAGGGCAGAGGAAAACTCTGGGGTCTAATAGTCCACAGATCGCTACATAAAGAGGACCCGTCGCTGTTCCAGCTATCACAAGGGATGTCGGTCATCCCTTGTGATAGCCATAATACTTTGCCTAAGTTACCTAGAAATAGTGGAGCGAGAAGCAGGTTGATCCCAATGATGGCCCTCCCGATTTACAAAAAGGGAGTCAGTCAAAAAAAAAAGAAGACATGGCAAAGAGCCTGTACTACATCCAAACAATGAAGGGAAATCTCCTCAAGATGTAATGGAGTAGGACAGAGGGATGGAAGTAGAGTGTTCTGGTTAAGGTGTAAGGAAGAAAAGGAAGACACCACTTTTGGGAGAAAGGAAGCTCTACACCTCAATACAACCTTATCTCGGTAAAGCAAAAGAAAAGGTTCCTTGCGAAACAAGGCTGCCACTTGTCTCACCAAGGTGATGACATGGCAACGAAAGGCCATCTTGTGAGGAGAAAATGAGCTGTAGATCTGTAAAAGTTCAAATGGATGGTTTCTGAAAAGCCCACAGAACCAGGTCCCATGGAATCACATGCCAACATATAGGCAGAATGTCAGCAAACTTGTACAAAAACTTTTACCAAAGAGCGAGAGGCAAACCGCTTTTGAAAAAAACTGCTGCAGTGGAAATCTGGCCCTCCATAGTACTCAGACCAAATGTTGACCCAGACCAGACTGGATAAAAGTCAGGATGTGTTCCATATAGTATTGCTACGAATAGACTTTTTGTGCTTTGCACCATGCAAAGTTCAATTTCCAAGTACAATTGTAAACGTTGCGAAAAGGTGGATTTTGTAGATTTTAGGAGCATTTAAATAAAGGTTTCAGATAGATCCTAGCCTTGATGACCTGGGCTTGAACAACCATGTCATTAAATCCAGAAACCGTGAAATAGGTTGATAAACCGGTCCTAAGGACAGGAGATCCAAAAGGTCTGGGAGAGCCCAGAGAGTCTACGCAAAGTCGAATGAGAGCAGTGTACCACATCCATTTGGGTTAGCTTGGTACGACAAGTATCACTGGAATAGAGTAAAGGCTTAGATTATCTTCAACCAATCCCAATGAGCCATCATAGCATCTATAGGTATGGCCTGAGAATTCATGGACCTGGAGAAAAACTTGCTTATTCTGTTGAACCTGGAAACCAGGAGATCCACATTCAGCATTCCTCACTTGCAACAGGAGGTGGCTGGATTCTGTTCAAGCTGTCAGATTTCTGGTTCATGACTGATGTATGCACTGCTGGTGCCTTGTCTGACTGAATCTGGTCCAGCGTTGAAGGAACAACCAAGTTTCTTGTAGCTCCAGGATGATTGTGAGACTAGCTTTCTATATTCACCACCCTACACTATGAATGTGTTGGAGACCGCTTCACAGCCTGTCAAGCTGGCAACTATCTGGAAAATCTTCCAGACGAGTGGGGGGGGGGGGGAAGGTTTTCCTAGACTCCAAGGCTGTATTTGTGAGCCACCAGGCCAGGGAAACCGTGTCTTGGATGTCCAGTGCATGCCCACAAAACCTTCTTGTCCCACGCAACCAGAATGTAGAGTTGCAATGGTGTGTAGTGGAATTGAGCGATGGCGACAGCCTTAATCATGTGTTAATGTACATTTTTCAATGGCAAAACTGTGGCCCATCAAGTCCAAAAATTGTGGGGGAAAAAAAAAACCAAAAAAAAAAAAAAACCCCTTTGGAGAGCCTACTTTCCAAAAAAGGAATCATTTAGTGGATTTTGTACGATTATGGCATTTTTACAGAAAGAGAAAGTTTTTTTTCCCAAATATATTATCGTTTTTCTTTTTCTAGTAAGGTATAAACCCAGTGGTTACTAAATACCACCAAAAGAAAGCTCTGTCTAAAAAATAAGGCATAAATTCATTTGGCAACAGCATTACATGACAGAGTAATTGTCAGTCAAACTATCACATCACTGAAAATTGGCCTGGTAATGAAGGACTATTATACGCTGGTTCTCAATCGGTAAAAGGAGGCCACCCCACTGTTAGACTCTGCAAAAGCGGAATAGGAAAGCTCTTGGACTGCAATTTCAAATTTGGGAATGTAGGGTCAAGAGTTCTTCCTGCAGAAGGAAAACGTTGGACTGAACAATAGCCAGAAGAATGGGATCCAAGCGGTACAAGGGGTAGAGAAGCTCCAGCACTAACTTCTGAATGTTCAGGATACAAATGAGCCTTTGGAGAATCTGAACAAAGCGGTGGTCCTTGACTGATAAAATCTGTGCTGACTGGTATCCCAGAATCGGAATGCCCTGGGAATGTAGCAAGGCTAAAACAGGAGCCAACACCCTTGTAAAAACTTTTGGTGCAGTCTACAGCCTAAAAGGAAAAGCAAACTGGTACGGTTGTGTGCCCACAGTAAAACATATGAAGCATTGATGTGCCTGAAAAAAAATGGGGATCTGCAGGTAGGCATCCTTTAGGTCCACAGAGATGTGGATTTTTTTTTTTTTTTTTTTTTTTTTTAAATGGAGTGCTTTTAGGTCCAAAATAGATCCAATTTCCCTTTTTGCTTTGAGAACAGTGAACCAATGGAAGTAGAAACCCCATAAACATCTTTGCTCTCAAACAGGAGCAATGATTCATTGGGAGGCTAATTGTGCACAAAGAAGGCTTTCGATCTAGGTAATCACAAAGGATAACATACATTACCCCATTTTGAAAAGTGGGGGCATCTCCTCAGGTTTGATAGGTTTTGTCATCCAAGGTTTGTGAAGAAACTCAGCCTTGGACTTGGCTGCCTGGGAGAAATGAAAAGGAACTCTAGTTCCCAAGGAACGTGGTTACCCAGTTTGAGTCCTAGCTTTTTTTACGGGGCAAAAGGGTACTCGTTACCCAAGCGACCTCTTTAATAAAGTTGTTCAGGGAAGTGCCAAAAAGGTTTTTCTGTGCTACTGTTCAACAGACCAAAATCTTTAAGCCTAAACATCCTCCACAATGTACAAAGACTCTTAGTGCAAGGCAATAGACACATGTCCTAACTGCTGCAAAACAAGAAGTTCCTTAACAGGGATTTGGTAAAACAGGAAATGGGCAGAACCACCACAGGCACAGACCATTTCTTGACCAATGCCTCCTAAATAGGGTACTGTTGGATAACACTTTTGGGAGGGGAAGCAACTAATCAGGAAAAGAACAGTTACCATTCAAAATCAATTGCGATAAAAATATTGAAAATGTTTCGATAGATTGGGAACTTAATGCCCAAACTGATAACCTTAGAGAATGCAAATGTCTTTTGCTTCAGTTCTAAGCACCACATCAACAACCAAGTATCTTTAAGCCTAGGAGTAGTAGACTGAACCATCTTAGTTACTAGGTCATTCAAAGGGGATAGATTAGATTATTTGTCATCCTGAGCTGCATGTGCAAAGGCAACTGCAGGAAATCAGAGAGACTTTAGAGATGGCGTGGAGTCATGCTTGCAGCCTCTGCAATCGCCATATGCAATCATAGTCATGATCCTATGCATAAATTCCAACGCAGTTTCAGACAATTCTCCCTAGATAATGGAAAGGAGGGAGCCAGGCTGAATGGGTACAAAGAGGAGCTTGTGGAACAAGCACCTGCCTGTGCAGGCCAGTCAAGTTCCTCCACCTCAAATTCCCCCCCTCCAACCAAAACTTTACACTTGGCACAATGCAGTCAGGCAAGTACCGTTCTAGCAACCACCAAACTGAGACATCTTTATCAGATTGCCAGACAGAGAAGCAGGATTTGTCACTCCAGAGAACACATCTCCACTGCTCTAGAGTCCAGTAACGACGTGATTTACATCACTGCATCCGATGCTTTGCATTGCACTTGGTGATGTAAGGTTTGGATGCAGCTGCACCACCACAGAAACCCATTCCATGAAGCGCTCTACGCACTGTTGTTGTGCTTATCTGAAGGCCAGATGAAGTTTGGAGGCTTTAGCTGTTGACTCGGCAGACAACTGGCAACTTCTGCATGCGCTAACCCCGCTCTGTCATTTTACATGGTCCTCCACTTAGTGGCTGCGTTACTGTTATTCCCAGTTGCTTCCACTTTGTTATAATACCACTAACAGTTGACCATGGAATATTTAGTAGCAAGGAAATGTCATGGATGGACTTATTGCACAGGTGGCAACCTATCACAGTACCACACTTGAATTCACTGTGCTCCGGAGAGCAACCCACTCTTTCACAAATGCATGCCTAGGTGCTTGACACACACACACACACACACACACACACACACACACACACACACACACACACACACACACACACACACACACACAGTCTTGATAAAAGAAAAAGGGGAAAAAAATTGTTTCACAAAAGGGGAAAAGATGTCCATTCTTCAAGGGCACTACCATAAAAGAAAAGCATGATGGAGTGGATGGTGTTATACTGTCCAACCTTTTATTTTTTGTTGCCAATGTCCAATTCTCCTGTAGGTGGCAGCATAACTCACTGTTCATATGTGGTTCACACACTTGAACATTAACTTATTTATAAAAAGGACATTCAATGCTCATTTTGTCCAATGGAGTACTTGGGTTTTATCCCCAAAAAACTCCATAAAGGACTACATGTACCACCAAGTGGAAACAGGCTTGATAAAGGGGATTTCTCCTTCAAAACATTGTCCATTCAAGGTTTTCTTCGCTCTCTTTTTTTTTTTTTTTTAATCACAGGTGTCAATAATGCATTTGTTAAAATATTTCTGTGTAATTTTGTTTGTGCATCCTTTCCTCATGTTGTATTATACTTGTGCCATGATGTTTGTACATGGTTTTTTCTGTGTGCTGCTATGAGGTATTTTGCCTCTGCTGGACAGGTTACATGGCGTGTAACTTTTCTGAACATTGTATAAAATATTTTTTAAATCTTAAAAGAATATTGCTGCAGTACATTCTGCTTTGTAATGTGCTTATTATATTCCAAAGCATATGAGAATTCCTACTGACCCTGCGTCCTCTAATGAACAATTAAGAAAATTATTTTGTTCACAAGACCTGTCATTACAATATCATTGTAACCTTAACCGGTTCCCGCCCGGCCAATAGCACAAAGGCGGCTGGCAAAGCAGTACCCTATTTAGGAGGCATTGGTCAAGTGTTACTAAACCGACAACAGTAAAAATCAGTCTGTATATGCAGCAAAGCATACTTGTTATACTCACTATGGGACCTAAGGGGTTACTCCTCTGCATTGAGTAAAAAGGATGTTTGATCCTTTCTTCTCTGTCCCTTGTTAAAATGACCACCTGATACAGACTGAACCCGTGGTCACATGCACATGGTCAGTTTGGTATATATTGCTAGAGGTTTTTTTTTTTTTTTTTCTTGGGAGGGTGCATGTGATCAGCACAGGGCCAATCAGCAATGTCCAGACAGAGGGTCAGAGGTTTCACATCCTCCTAGAGCAGAAAGAAAACTCCTCCTACAAGCTTTAACCAGTGCTCTGCTGAAGTCACAAGACTGCTCTAACTCTAACATTCCTTGCATTATGGTAAAAATTGTTTAGGCATCAGCATCCCCCCTCATACTTACCTGAGCCCTCATTTGATCCAGCACTGTGCACATCTGCAGCTCTTCCCTCCTCTCACACTGTCTCTCGCTGGCATTGCTAGGGCACTGGCCATTGGATCCGAGCGCTGGCCAAGTCCCGCTGTCTGTGTCAAAGTGGGGCTCGGAAGTGAGCGCACACGAGTGCTCCCATGGGAATTGGCTTCACTGGACAGAGAAGAGGGGCCAGAAGCACCAGCGGGGGACCCAAGAAGGGGCATTGCACAGAGCAGGTAGGTAAAGACATGTGTTATGTTTTTGGAACAAAAAAAAAACAAAAAAAAAAAAAAACGTACCTTTACAATCGCTTTAAGTCATGACAAAGTTGTTGCCAATCAACAGACCCATAGCAAAAATGGTCATTGCTGTGGCCCATAGGTGTACAGGTGTGAGTTGATCTGGATAAAAAGATCTTAGAAAGAAAAAAAAAAAAAAAAAAAAAAAAAAAAAAAAAAAAAAAAAACTTACCAGGAGTAGGAAGAAGACCAGGTTTTTCACCAAGAAGTGGTCTTTTTGCAGGAGAAATCGGTGGAAAGCCAAGCAGCGGAGGTCTTTTTGTTGGCATTGCCAAAAGTGGTGGAGGTTTGCCTTTTGGAGTTGATAATCCTAAAGAAACAAAAAAGGTTTTCTATTTTTTGTTTTGTTTTTTTTTAACATGTTTGTGTTTTATTACACAAATCTGAGGACAAATACTATACCTGGAAAACAAAAGACTTTGTATGTCTGAGGATCAAATGCAGACCCTGTTTAACCACTTGCCTACCAGGCACTTATACCCCCTTCCTTACCAAGCCAATTTTCAGCTTTCAGCGCTGCCGCACTTTGATTGACAATTGCGCGGTCATGCAACATTGTACCCATATGAAAATTTGATCATTTTTTTCTCACAAATAGAGCTTTCTTTTGGTGGTATTTAATCGCCACTGGGCGCTTTACTTTTTGCGCTATAAATTAAAAAATGCAAAAAATTTGAAAAAAAAAAAAAAAGTTTGTTTCTTTTATAAAATTTTTCAAACAGGTATTTTTTCTCCTTCACTGATTTGCGTTGATGAGGCGGCACTGATGGGCACTGATAGGCAGCACTAAAGGGCACTGATAGGCAGCACTAATGAGGTGGCACGGATAGGCGGCACTGATAGACAGCACTAATTAGGGGTCACGGATAGGCGGCACTGATATGCAGCACTGATAGGCGGCACTGATAGGTGACACTGATGATGGGTACTGATAGACGGCACTGACTGGCATCACTTCTGGGCACTGACTGGCGGCACTGACTGGCACAACCCCTGGGCACTGACTGGTGGCACTGACTGGCAGCACTGCTGGGCTGCACTGGTGGGTGGCACTGGTGGGCAGCACTGGTGGGTGGGCACAGGTGGGTGGCACTGGTGGGCACAGGTGGGTGGGCACAGGTGGGTGGCACTGGTGGGCACAGGTGGGTGGCACTGGTGGGCACAGGTAGGTGGCACTGCAGAGTGGCACAGGTGGGGGCACTGCAGAGTGGCACAGGTGGGGGCACTGCTGGGCACAGGTGGGGGCACTGCTGGGCACAGGTGGGGGCACTGCTGGGAACGGGTGGGCGGGGCTAGTGGGCGCAACTTGCGGGTGTCACTGCTGGGCACCGATCATCAGGGCACTGATCATCAGTGCCCTGATGATCGGTGCCGATCCCCGCTCTGACAACTGCCGGTTCTCGGCAGTACTTTCCTCACGATCTGACAGCGTGAGGAAAGTGCAGCCGAGAACCGGCACTGCCTTTCCCTGTGATCAGCGTGTCATTGGACACCGCTGATCACGTGGTAAAAGGCCGGTGGGATCGGCCTTTCACCACATCCCGTGATCAGCTGTGTCCGTAGGACACAGCGATCACGGAGATCGCCGGGTGCGCGCCCCCTGGGGCGCGCAGGAGAGCGCGTTCTGGGAGGACGTCATATGACGTCCACTCAGAACTGGCCGGCCGCGGTGAAGCCGTCATTCGGCTATGCGCGGTCGGCAAGAGGTTAATAATGCTTTTCTTATTAGAAAATAGGTAGTTAAAGCAGGAGATACATTATAAATTAAGAACACAACCAATTTAGTCATTTTACTTGCAAATAAAGTAAAACACTGCCTAATTGTGTTTGGTTCCACCTCAAAGCCTCATAAGAAACGTTTTCTGTTCATTTTCCAATCAAACATGTTGACAGCCAGTATAAAATTATACAACTGAAAAAAGGAAGCCGCCAATTAATAAATGGGAACATTTCTGTAACTATGCTGTCTAAATTAGAACAGACAATGGTAGAACTTTAATCTGGCTTGGGCAGCCATATGACTAGTGGAACATTTAAATTCCCTGTACCAGCAATATTAGAGTAGATAGTAAATATGTCTTCTGACTTTGGTCCAAAAGAGATGTCATCCAAACTAGCAGACATAGGAACTGAAATTTCTTTTGAGTAATGCCAGTTGTTATACCTACCCTTTAAACTGTAATTTCTGATTCCAAGACTGTGCACATGAAATGGCACAAAATATAAAAGTAGTATGCATACATCCATACAGAAAAGATAATCTGATAGGAGTTCATGTTAAAAGGTTGCTCTTCCAGGGTTAGCAAATGGGCCTCGCTCACAGGTGACACCAGGCAACCTTAGTAGTCACAGGTTTCAGTATAGACGGCCAGTGTAATGAGAAAAATGGGTAACTGTGCTAGTAAGCAGAAGTCAGAAAATATCCTTGTTTAGTGGTGTGTGATTTTTTAATTTGGACACTAATGGGTAAACTCCATACAACCGAGAACATTCTAAACCCTAGTGCAAGGGTCAATAAACTTTCAAATTTTAAGAGGCTGGACTGTGGCCACTGGGAATAGAAAATGCCCCGGCATCCGTGGGAGTAAACAATGCCATAGGCTTGGTGATCAGTGGGAGAGAAAAAAAAAACCCACACACCTCATCGTTGGCGGCAGTGGGAGGAATAGTACCCCAAAAATTATGTCAATAATAGGAATAGTACCCCATCATTTGTGTCAGTGGGAGGTATAGTGCCTTGTATCAGTGAAAAGAAAAGTGCCCCAGGGGCCAGATAAAGGCAAAGGTACACTTTCTGCCCAGACTAGTTTGTAGACCCCGGCCCTCTAGAACAAAAAAAATTACTTTCACAAAACAGTGAACAGATTGCTGAGTATCAGTTATTTTCAATAGTAACTGAGCGAGAACTTAGAAACGAATAATGTAAATAAATATTCTTATTGTGAATCAGAATATTCCAAAAGATTGCCCCCTCTATCATGTGTTTTATTTTGTTTCTATTGTACCTATAAACAGCATAAATTCTTTCATCTTCCTTTAATCCCCAGATGGAGATCTTTGAGGACTTGTCATTATCATCTAAACCCATATATACAGTATAAGCAAAAGGAAGATAACTTGAGACTTTATTAATGTTATAAACGTTATGATAAATCAACATACATAATGTCGAAATAGAGTCATTCAGGGTAAGAGGAAGTTTATTTAAAGCGGTTGCAAACGCTTACATATACCTAGTGAAGTGACTGCTGGCTTCAGGTGATACACAGATGAAAACATCCTCCTACATAATTTTCCCAAAAACACTTCAGCGCAATTATCACTTTTTTTTCTATAAATGCTGCCGACACTCACGTGTTCCCACAAAGACATACAGTAATCTCATATAGTAGTGCCGTGCACCTTAATAATTTACTATGTGCAATATACAATATCAACAAAGTGCAACAATGATAGTTTCCTCAGCAATAGTCCTTTGTATGTGATAAATTCAGTGCATATATCTTAATTCTTGTGCAAACACCTGCTCCTTTCTTCCATGTGTACAAATTTGATTGGCTCAGAAAGGTTGGCGCACGAATAGGCTGTGTGGTGCCTGGCGTGTGAAGCGGGATTGTGGGCAAGATGTGGAATAACCACGGTGAGTCCTGGGTGTCGGGGATATCCCATACATTCAGCTCTTATATTGGTTCTGTATGAACTTGGATAGTTGCCAGTGAGTTAAAATAGGTCCCGAGCTGCGTTGCTGTGGTGCATAATCCGAGTCAGTCACAAGTTATACAATGGGGGGACCTAGCCAGCACCATCGAGGGATAGGGTTGTCCCATCATCCCTTTACAAGCGAACACATTAATTACAGGTTCTGGGGCTAATGTAGTGCAGGTAAGGCATTGAGTTCAGTTACCACCTTAATCAGCCCTAAAAGCTGTGTAAATAATGTTTGCTTTAAAAGGGATGATGAGGTGGCAAAACCCAGTAGAGTTATGTCTGTTCATGACACCTGAGAACTAGGGTTGCCATCTCATCACTTTAACCCCTTCCTGACCAGGCCATTTTATGTGACATGGCGCTGCATTACTTTAACTGACAATTATGCAGTCGTGCAACGCTGTAAATAAAATGAAATTTATGCACGTTTTTCCCCCACAAATAGAGCTTCCTTTCGGGGAAATTGATCACCTCTGCAGTTTTTATTTTTTGTACTATAAGCAAAAAATAGACTGACAATTTTGAAGTGAAACATCTGATTAAAAAAAAAAAAAAAAAAAAATCTAATTTCTTTATAAATTTAGGGCAAAATGTATTCTGCTACATGTCTGTCTGTGATTCAGCACAGTTCAGTGGAGGTAGTGTAAGTGAGCCCTACCTCTTGTTTGTAGATAATTTGGGAGGATCGCAAAGTTGTCATTTGCCCATACTAGGTAAGGTAACAGGTTCAGGGCTCGTCATCAGCGGCTGTACTAATTGTGTACAGCCATTGGTGTGTGACGGGAGGAAATGGTGCTGATGCACCAATCCTGGCACGGTTCTGTCTGCTAAATAAGATAGTGCTCTATACATTGACAGGTCACATGACTGGGCTGTGTTCCTCAGCTTCATGAATGTGAAATGAGTAGAGCACGTTCCTAACCCAAGAAACTACTAAACAACTCATTCACTCCCTTTATATATCACAACTTGACTACTGTAACTCCCTCCTCACCGGCTTACCTCATCACAGGCTATCCCCGCTTCAGTCTATCCTGAATTCTGCGGACAGACTCATCCAGGCTTCCCCCATCCTCTGGAGCTCACTACCCCAATCCATCAGACTGTCACCCACCATCTCACCTTTAGGCGCACCCTGAAAACCCATCTCTTCAGGGAAGCCTACCCCACCCTCACCTAATTGCTGATCTCCTCCACTCTTCCTACCACTCCAACCCCCACAGCTATTTCCTCCTATACCACTATCCCCTCCCTCCTAGATTGTAAGCTCCAAGGAGCAGGGCCCTCGAACCCCTCGTGTATTGTACTGTATTGTTACTGTACTGTCTTGTGTATTGTCTCCCATTATAATGTACAGCGCTGAGCAAACTGTTGGCGCTATATAAATACTGTATAATAAAATAATTTGTGCTCCTCCACCAATGTCATACATATGTACTCTCACCTCCTTGTGTAACCCATACACAGGTCATACAGAGCTTTTCCCTTTTAACCCAGGTAGGTATAAGGCTCTTTCAAGATCCACTCTCCTCCTCATTTTACTCCCAATGGCTCCACCTGCTCCTTATCCCCCATATCCGCCGCATATGCAAACAAAACGCTAAACGTAGTATAGCATGTAGATACTTGAATATTTAAAAAGCAAAGAGTGCACTCACATTAAAAAGTGTCCTGTTGGAACACTACGGTAAAAAACGCCTGGAGGAAGTCACGTGGTGTGACATAACGCATAGGGTGGGCCGATGATGTCAAGCCGCAATACGAAGTTTACGAGCCACCATCTTGGGATCTCTCTGAGTACACCAATATCAATATATCACAGGCGTTTTTACTGTAGTGTCCCAGCAGGACACTATTTAATGTGAGTGCACCTGAGCCCCACTGGTTTAAAAAAAAAAAGGGAGGAGGGCAAAAAACCTGTGTGCAGCAGCGTCCTCCAATCCTTACCTGAGCCCCACCTCCGATCCAGCCTCTGCTGTATGGGGACTCTTCCACCTTATTGGCTATTAGCTCCCACTTCTGTCAATCACAGCCAGTGAGGAGAGAGTGGGGTGGCAGGGTCGAGCCGCAGCTCTATGCGTCTTATGGACACATAGGGCAGCAGCTTGGGGACAAGCACAGAGCAGTGCCCCCAGGGCGAGTGGATTTCCCTTGGGGCACAGCTTGAGGGGGAGGAGCCAGAATAGCCAGTAAGGACCCAGAAAAAAAAGAAAAAAAAAAAAAAAAAAAAAGGGATCGGTGCTGCAAAACCACTGCACAGAGCAGGTAAAAATGACATATTTGTTATTTTAGGGAAAAACAAAAAAAAAACAAAAAAAAAACAAAGCTTTAGTGTCACTTCAAGGTTTTACAACCACTTTAAAGAATGATATCCAAGTGTGAGGAGGGTGAATGAACGTAAGAGGGAAACGTAATCAGTGCAGCTTCATCAACCTTCAGCTATGTTTTTGAACTCAAGAGTCATTTGTTATGTAAAAAAATTTTATCGTCCATATTTCCAAAATGCATTATAATAATTTTGTTTTTTGTGTTCTGAGGTTCTCCTCCCACTGTGTGACATCAGAAACCAGAAGAGAGGAAGACTTTGTCACTTCCAGTTTCAGTTTGTTGTACAGAAGTTGTTACAGTCTTGTGAAAACATCTAATCAAATGCTTTGGAGGCCAAAAAGGAGAGATATGGAGTCTAATAGACCATAGATCTCTCAAAAAAGATGACCGGTCACGGTCCATGCCATCAAAAGGGATGTTTTTCATCCCTGGTGTAGCAATAAAGCTTGTTTCCTGCATTATTCAACGTTGAGCACAGCTCATTGTTTTACTGACCCAGGGCAGGTAAATAGGGATGTGTTACAATCTTCTTCACACATACCATACAAAGCATGGCAGTGGATTAGTTTACCACACTGGACATAGGGATTAAACAAAATTAAAAAGAAATGTTTAGCACATCAAGGACCAAAAGAGCTTTAGATACATTCAATACTAAAATGATGAAATGTCACCTGGTGTAGGAAGAAGTCCAGCTGAAGATCGGTCAGATAGAAGAGATGGTTTCCCTACAGCCATTAATGGGGTCCGGACAGGAGTAGGAAGTAGTGGTGGAGGCTTTGCCAGGGCATCTGATGAAACGCTGGGTAGAGCTTTATAAATGGCATTAGCTGCATCATCTTTGAGTTCAACTTTCTTAAAACCTAAAAACAAAACACGTTAATTAGAAATTAATCCAGTCCTACCACTGGTTATAACTGCAGATAAGTCCTAAATCATTCCCAGACTGTTAAAGCCATATTAAACCCAAAACCAACAATGTAGTATATTGCAGTTCACCAATCATTTGATGTGGTGGCTGCATCAGTGTTCTTAGACTTTTCCCCCCTCACCTGGTGATCTGGCCAGTAACATTTCTCCTGTATTAGAGTGCCCCACTCCAAATGAATGAGCACAGAGGGGGCACCTTTGAAAAGCAGCATTGTCAGTCTGGGGGGGAAGGGAGTGTCAGACGTACTAGCAAATTTAAATACAGTAAACAAATGTAAGCCAAACTCCAGCTAATACTTTATAAACAGTTACAGCAAACAGTTTTTTGATTTTGGTATACAGGTTTCATATAAAACAAAAACCTGACCATTGTAAGCACTCCTGCTCATGCTAAATGGTTTGTCTCAACTATGGAACCAACAGTCTGTTAGAGAGCTTGTTCTTTTTCAAAACAGACTTACTTGCTTGATCACCAAATGAAAATAGAAAACAGCAAGCCTAAAAAGAACATAATGCAGCCATCTCGTGTAAGAAATGGTAAGCTAAAATAAAAATGTTTGCTTTTGGGTTGAAAACCACTTTAAGAATATGGCAAAGCCCATCAAGGACATACACCCCAGCCTAGTGTTTTAAAAAATCTTTGCTTGCCAAAGAGAAACTAAAGAATGTGAGGTTGTAGAGAAAACTCCTTATGACTAGACTTCATGCAGACAGTAAGGAGAAACATGGAACCTAATTAATTTTTTGATACTTTATGATACCCACTGTCTGATGGCAGTTACATGAATTTACGGGAAACGTTCACTTATGTCTCCCTACATTGTAGTAGTTCGCACACGTAAACACACATTAAGAAAAATCATATGTTAACACCCTTTCTCCGAGTTCATTGACAGACACAGCTTCTGTTCATTCTTAACCACAGTGTTTATAGAGCAATCTACAGTAGTAGGACACTAGGCAGAAAAAGAACAGCACCACCTATGGGCATTCCTAGCTGGTATAAGCCCCCTTCTCTGCTACAGGCAAGCCAGTTAAGTCACAAAGCAGTACAAGAATAAAAAGACCAAAAGAGGGGTAGGTGCGGTGTCTATCAATGAACTCAGGGAAAGCGATTTTAATGAAGGAGTAGGCAAACAAAAAAAGGAGCCAACAGGCAATCACCTGAAGAAACACCCTCAAACCCTACAGGGAAAACAAGGAACCTGAAAACACCTGCAAAACCTTGAAGACAAAACAGGCATCCAAAAGATGGAAAAAAAAAAAAAAAATCAACACTGTAAAAATTTTATAAAGGTATGCACAGATGACCAGGTGGTCACCTTGCACACTTGACACACAGACACCTTCTGTCAAATCCACTGAGAAATGCAGAGGAGACCACCAGACCTTTTTCATTGCCCACCCATAATCACAAAAAAGAAATCCAGCCCTCTGAAGGGAAGCTGCAGCAAACAGGCCAGCTAGGTCCTAAAGAAGTCCCGACAAGAGGACTAGATGACAAATATAGAAATTTGGGGCACACCTCCAGGAGTCTTGGACACTGGACACTGCAGCTGGATTGCACACAAACATGAAGCCGACAAGTCCAGGAGTCCATCACAGCAACCCCATTTACAAGCAGTAAGACATTCTACCTGTTTTGACAGTTTGCCAGCTATAGTGGTTCATGGTCTTTGCCATAATATAGACATAATGGGATGGGTAGAGTCCTATAAGCTGTTGCTGGCATTGCAGGGACTGTCCCCAAACAAATTTGCTAAATGGAAAAAAACATGGCTATTTCAGAATTATTTTACCCACCCTTTAAAAAGTTAGGACCTGTGATAAAAAATGAGAAAAAAAAATGAATTTTTTTCCACCTTTAAAAAGTAACATAAACTCAACTCAATGAAAAACAAACTGAAATATTTTAGGGAGGGGTGGGGGGAGTAAACAAACTAAAATAATGTGGTTGCATAAGTGTGTACACGCTCTCATAACTGGAGATGTAGCTGTGTTCAGAATTAAGCAATCACATTCAAAATCATGTTAAATAGGAGTCAGTACACACATGCCATCATTTAAAGTGCCTCTGATTAACCTCATATAAAGTTCAGCTCTTCTAGTAGGTCTTTCCCTGACATTTTCTTTGTTGCATCCTACAGAAAAAGCCATGGTCCACAGAGAGCTTCCAAAGCATCAGAGAGATCTCATTGTTAAAAGGTATCGGTCAGCAAAAGGGTACAAAAGAATTTCCAAGGCATTAGATATACCATGGAACACAGTGAAGACAGTCATCATCAAGTGAGGAAAATATGAGCAACAGTGACATGACCAAGAATTGGACATCCCTCCAAAATTGATGAAAAAAAACTAGAAGAAAAAACTGGTCTGGGAGGCTGCCAAGAGGTCTACAGCAACATTAAAGGAGCTGCAAGAATATCTGGCAAGTACTGGCTGTGTGGTACATGTGATAACAATCTCCTGTATTCTTCATATGTCTGGGCTATGGGGTAGAGTTGGCAAGATGGAAGCCTTTCTTATGAAGAAAAACATCCAAGCCCGGCTAAATTTTGCAAAAACACATCTGAAGTCTCCCAAAAGCATGTTGGAAAATGTGTTATGGTCTGATGAAACCAAGGTTGAACGTTTTGGCCTTAATTCCAAAAGATATGTTTGGCGCAAAAACAACACCACCTCACAAAAAGAACACCACACCTACAGTGACACATGGTGGTGGCAGCATCATGCTTTGGGGCTGATTTTCTTCAGCTGGAACTGGGGCCTTAGTCAAGGTAGAGGGAATTATGAACAGTTCCAAATACCAGTCAATACTGGCACAAAACCTTCAGGCTTCTGCTAGAAAGCTGAACATGAAGAGGAACTTCATCTTTCAGCATCACAATGACCCAAAGCATACATCCAAATCAACAAAGGAATGGCTTCACCAGAAGACGATTAAAAAGTTTTGGAATGGCCCAGCCAGAGCCCAGACCTAAATCCAATGGACAATCTGTGGGGTGACCTGAGAGGGCTGTTCACAGGAGATGCCCTCGCAATCTGACAGATTTGGAGCGTTTTTGCAAGGAAAAGTGGGCAAATATTGCCAAGTCAGGATGCGCCATGCTGATAGACTAATACCCAAAAAGACTGAGTGCTGTAATAAAATCAAAAGGTGCTTCAACAAAGTAATATTTAAGGGTGTGCACACGTATGCAACCACATTATTTTACCTTTTTAATTTTACTTCCCTCCACCTAAAAGATTTCAGTTTGTTGTTCAAATGAGTTGTACAGTTTATAGGTTACATTAAAAGGTGGAAAAACTTCTGAAATTATTTATCTTTGTCTGATTTTTTTACATCACCTGACCTTTTAACAGGGGTGTGTAGATTTTTTATATCCACTGTAACTGGCACTGTGGAAGATGTGAGCATAGCTAGGACTGCCCATAGGCGTTGCTGTGTTCTTTTTTTTCCTAGTGTTCTACAGGTGTTGTTATAAACCCAATGGTCAAGAATAAACAGACGTGGTGTCCACCAATGAACTTAAGGAGGAAAAACAAAACAAAATAATAATCATTAAATTTATTTTTCAAACGCACCTAATGATAGTACCGGAATTCTTATTTATTGTAAGCTGTATATTAGATTTAATCATACACCAGTGAAGGAAATAAATATTTGATCCCCTGCTGGTTTTGAATGTTTGCCCACTCACAAAGAAATGATCAGTCTAAAAATCGAGTGGTAGGTGTATTGTAACACAGACAGAATAGCAACAAAAAATTCAAAAGAAATGCATGTCTAACAAATTATGCACTGATTTGCACGTTCATGAGGGAAATATGTATTTGATCCCCAATCATTCAGCAGGAATTCTGGCTACCAGGTGTTTTTCATACAGGTAACAAGCTGAGATTAGAAGCAGTCTCTTATAGGGAGTGCTGCTAATCTAATAGTTTTACCTGTATAAAAAAAGACACCTGTCTACAGGAGCAATCAAACAATCAGATTCCAAACTCTCCACCATGGAAAAGACGAAAGAGCTGTCCAAGGAAGTCAGGGACAAGATTGTACACCTACACAAGGCTAGACTAGGCTAGCAAACTATCACCAAGCAGCTTGGTGAGAAGGTGACAACAGTTGGTGCAATCATTCACAAATTGAAGAAACACAAAACTGTCAGTCTCTGGTGCACCAAGCAAGATCTCACCTCGTGGAGTGTCAATGATCAGAACAGTGAGAAATCATTCCAGAACTACACGTGAGGATTTGTCAATGATCTCCAGGCAGCTGGACCACAGTCACCAAGAAAACAATTGGTAACACTACGCAGACAAGGACTGAAATCTTGCAGTGCCCGCAAGGCCCCCCTGCTTAAGAAGGCACATGTCCAGGCCTGACTGAAGTTTGCCACTGAACATCTGAATGATGCAGAAGAGGACTGGTTGAAAGTGTTGTGGTCAGATGAGATCAAAATCGAGCTCTTTGGCATCAACGCAACTCACCGTGTTTGGAGGAGGAGGAATGCTGCCTATGACCCCAAGAACACCATCCCAACTGTCAAACATGGTGGTGGAAACATTTTGATTTGGGGGTGTTTTTCTGCTAAGGGGACAGGACACTGCACCGCATCAAAAAGGGACAATAGACGGGGCAATGTACTGTCAAATCTTGGGCGAGAACCTTCTTCCCTCAGACAGGGCATTAAAAATGGGTCGTGGATGGGTGTTCCAGCATGACAATGACACAAAACACACGGCCAAGGCAACGAATCAAGAAGAAGCACTTTAAGGTCCTGGAGTGGCCTAGCCAGTCTCCAGACCTTAATCTGATTGAAAATCTGTGGAGGGAGCTGAAAGTTCGAGTTGCCAAACCTCAGCCACCAAAGACTTGGAGAGGATCTGCCAAGAGGAGTGGGCCAAAATCCCTCCTGAGATGTGTGCAAACCTGGTGGCCAACTACAGGAAATGTCTGACCTCTGTGATTGCCAACAAGGGATTTGCCACAAAGTACTAAATCATGTTTTGTAAGGGGATCAAATACTTATTTCCCTCATGAACATGCAAATCACTGCATAATTTGTTAAGACATGCATTTCTTTTGAATTTTTTGTTGCTATTCTGCTTCTCAGTGTTACAATACACCTACCATTCGATTTTTAGTCTGATCATTTCTTTGTGAGTGGGCAAACATTCAAAATCAGCAGGGGATCAAATACTTATTTCCTTCACTGTAAGAGCACTCAGACTGGTAAAGGGAGAGGCCACACACAGGTGAGCTGCATACAAATATGCTTAACACACTCTGACAGGTGGAAAGGTCATAGAAATCACCTCACCAGCCTGCTGCTGCTCAGCAGCGTTCTAATGGCTGGCTAGGGGAAGGGATAAGTCAGCAATAGCCCTCTTAATAGTAACTTGAATAGTTGTGTCATCTACTCAGCCATACTGTCTTGCAGAGCTGTGCAAACTGGAGGACCTAAGGAGGAACTTCAGTTTAGAGAGAAAAAAAAAAAATGAAAATTAAAACATCAGCAGCTACAAATACTGTAGCTGTTGACTTTTAATAATAAAGAGAATCTTAACAGCCCAGGGATAAAGTGCTGTCTTCACCTGGGATAGTTCTTTGCAAGTCTTCAGTTCCCCAGAGCCACCATGTTGACTGTGGGAAGACGGATGTGACTCTCTGCGGCTTCACAGCTGGCTCCCACTGCACATGCGTGATCCGCACTGCACTTTCTGACTGGTCCTGTAACCTCTGGGGACCTGTGGAGAGAACCCAGAAGGTTGCGGGCAACTTTCCCCTAGATAGCTTAGGCGAGGGATTAAGGGGACAATCAGCGTAACTTCCTTTTGTAAGTATAGTCCTGCTTTAAGGGATATAGTTGCAAAACCTCTGCAGACAAAACTGCTTTGTATTTAAATTTATACATTTGCTTGGATTTCAGCTTTATAGAATAAACTCAACATTTCGTATTCCTAAAATGTGATGCCGTCCCATGTAGTTGTACAAAAAAGTATCCGGTTCTCTTTGTATTGCTTTCTTTGTGTGAAATCCCTGTGTTCCTGCCAGCCCACTGCTTTCCTATTAAAAATTGACTACCCTAGGCAGGAGAGCACAGAGTGGTCAATTCTCTAGCTGTGCTGGGAACTCTGTGTGCTCTCCTCCAATATTCAGACTTCTGCTGACACAACACCCCCTGCACAGCCTTTCACTGGGAAGATCAGTATGCTGCTGTTTCTCCTTCCCAAGCTTGTATGCAGCTGAGAACAGTGGGTATGTAATTACTTAGAAATGAAAAGCAAAACATCTGTGTATAGATATTAAAAATATATTAGATACACCTTTTTCCCCCTTTTCTATATTTTAAACTGAATGGAATGTTCTACAAGGTGAATGTTTACAAAAGACTTTAATTTGGCTACACGTGACAATTTAAAGGCAATTTCAACAACTTTCAACCAGCATTCAAACAAGCAACCAAAATGTCCCAATAATGTTAAATTACATTGTTAGTGAAAAGTTGCCATGATCCAGTTGTGTGTTTAGGAAAATAAAACTGACTAAAGTGCCAATCACTCCCACACACTCTCAATTTGTCATGACAGAAGACATGCACCTCAACCTAGCACTGGAATGAACACAACACCACAATTCTAAAGTGTGAAAAAGTAAAAAACAAACAGAGAATGGCCTATTTACCTTGATTGGAAAGAAGACTGATACCAGTTGATGGTCTGTCACCTAGCAAGGAAGGCTTAGCTAGCCCTCCAAAGGAATTCCTGGCAGGAGTGGGAAGAAGTGGAGGAGGCTTCTCCAAGAGATGTGTTTTTATTGTTGTTATGACTATCAAATGCAGGGTTAGCCTGTTCAGTAGTGTCCGCTTCTTCAAAGCCTAAAAGTTGGAAAAAAAAAGTTAGGCAAGGAGAGAAAAGAAAAAAACATCCCATATAATTGCAACTGGAAACATTATTATAGCTACTCAATAAGCAACACACTTATCTGGCATGAAGAGTTATAAAGAACTCAAGATAGGTTGTTCAGTTGCATCGAAATATTATTCATTTAAAATAGATTTTTTTTTAAAATTTAAAGTGCAACTCCGGATTCAATGAAAGTTCAAATATTTTCATAATTTATATTCCAAGGCAACGCTATCAAAATCCCTATTTACTTTGTCTTCTATAGCTATACACTGATTTCTCAAAATAGGGGGAAAAAAAAAAAAAAAAAAAAAAAAAAAAAGTAGGAGGATGTAACATTTTACTCACCTGCAAAGTGAAACAAAAACGAGAAGCGCACCAACTTTGCGCATTACCTCAGTAACCAAAATGTATTAATTAGAAAATGGTACTTACATACAGCGAATAAAATCAGGCATGTAAGTCCTCAGAGGGACTTCAAAGATAAGGAGCCAGCGCAAATCCCATCATGGGGGTAGACACTCAGTACAGCTAATGCGTTTTGAAGGCCATGCCTTCATCTGAGCTCTGAAGAAGGCATGGCCTTCGAAACGCGTCAGCTGTACTGAGTGTCTACCCCCATGATGGGATTCGCGCTGGCACCTTATCTTTGAAGTCCCTCTGAGGACTTACATGCCTGATTTTATTCGCTGTTTGTGAGTACCATTTTCTAATTAACACATTTTGGTTACTGAGGTAATGCGCAAGGTTGGTGCGCTTCTCGTTTTTGTTTCACTTTGCAGTATTGGTCGGGCTACCCCAGCCTTGTTTGGAGCTGCACAACCTTATATGCACTGGTGGTCGCTTTTTCCAGTTCTGGTTCCATCCACTTGCCACCCACCTGGGTCCTAGAGCGCAGGAGAAATCGCGTCTGGTCTAACATTTTACTCTCCATCAGTTTGTTGCAATACCTCACATCTCTTCAGATACTGATAACCTAGGCCTGTCCACAGTACTACTTGAGGTATCAGGGGCTTCTCAATCAAGAACATATTTTTAGGGAGGACAACTGGCAACAGGTTTTAAAATACAGCAGTATTTTACCAACAGTTACACCTGTTTCCCAATTTTTACTAAAAAAACTACACTAGTGTCAACTGTGATTTTCCACCTCACTCTCTCACACAGGCAATGGTCACCTGGTGACAAGTGAATCTCCCAAGCAGGCACAAAGAAAGCAATAAACCCTGACAAGGGTACTAACCACTCAAGATTCTATTCAAAAACAAAATCAACTTTAGAAACACATTAAAAATTTGATGGAAAATTCCAAGATTACCAATAGAATTGCCCAGTGTATGGTCAGAGGGCTGAGAGTGGCAGGGCTTTGGCCTGAAAGCTTCTAGCTCAACAACAAATTCTGGGCAATCTATAATAATCAGACTTCCCAGATGGCAACTATAGTTGACCTACAAATCCTACACTAGCCATTCCACAAAAGAAGTCTGTTCCCTTTAATAGACGGCTGACGTCATGAACACTGCTCTCTTGTCAAACCTTAAATTCTCACAAAATACATACCAGGACAAGGAGAAAACAGAAATGCTAGCTCTGGAATAGATTTTGCAAACCGTTTTCAAAAATCCTTGAAAAAATATTTGCAAATATTATACATAGCTTGTTTTATAAACAGAGCCGGAGTTTCACTTTAAATGCCCTGTAGATTTTATTTTCTAATACTATAACAAAATAAAAACCTTCTAATTGTGTTGGGGTTTGCACTGTATACAAAAGGTAAAACAGTTATATGAATGAATATTAGTATTTAATGTTTCAGTGTATATTATAATCAGAATGAGTTTACAAACTGGAAGTGCAAAAAAATGCAAAAAACAGTCGACGTTGCAAACCATTTGAGGAAATAAAATTATGAATAACTGATATTCAATAAAGTAATCCCAAAGTGAAGTGCAACTGCATCAAAATGGAGTTTAAAGATTTTTCATCTGTTTATTTAAATTTTTACATTTCTTTTTAATATTTAAAACGGAATGGATCCTTTTTAAAATCAGTCTTTGATGTAAAATATGAAATGCAGTTTGAATGAAAAAAACACTAATGTAGATTTGGGTGCATATAACATTTGAAATAACCCTAAAAATGTATACAGTAGTCATTTAAACGTGGGGCACTCAGGAGCATAAGCCAGCAGCAACACTGACCCAATAGCTAAAGGAAAACAAATATGAATATTATTTGTGTCTTGTTATGTATATGTTAACCTTGTATTTAGACAATAAAATATTGAAAAGAATTTCATGTGTTTACCCTCAACTTAAAGTGGGAAAAAACGTTTTAGGAAGTGCTGTAAAGAATAGAGAGACAGTTTGAAGAAACACGTCTAGTTTACCTTTACCAACGATTCTAATATAATACTTGTGTAGAACACAGTAACTGAACAAGTAGTAACAGTGGAAGATGTTAAGGGTAAGGGGGTTCTGATCGTGTGTGTACGCACTGGGGACAAAATGGGAAATGTTAAGTATACCTTCCAGCTCAGTTATCCTTGTCTTCAGGTAGTCACTGACTGATTTCAGCTCTTCGGCATATAAATATTTGCCATCACTTAAGAGGAAGAGAAGGTGCCTAATGTCCAGAGGGACAGTGTAAGATTCATAGAGTTCCCTCTCCAGGTAGTCGTCTGCCAGATCAGCCGCTTTGTGTGAAATTTCATTACGCTCTTGTTGTTCACGCTCGCCAAAAATTTTCCCGAATGCCTTAACTACCAGAGCCAGGGCATCCTCCATGGGCATATTACGATGTACTACAGAGGAGAGACATAACTTGCTTTGTCAGTTTTTAGCGCACATCTTTTAAAATCATATAAAATCATGTGAAGTGTGGACGCAATATCAAGTGTTTTAGCAGAAGTGTGTTATTTACAAACTTTTAAAGACGAGCCAAGTTTGTGCTTACAAGAGTTATCGAACTTCGGACAGCACTATTCTTTTAATGGTTTTTTGAAGGGATTGAAATGAAGATAAATTGTTTGTGTAAAAAGTTAGTGCAATCTGGCAGCCCAGCAACATGTCAAGGATTTACTTAACATATTTAAGCACTTATGAAGCAGAACTTCAATACTGATAAAACCCAAGCAAGAACACCTTATCCAAGCTTTAAATCCCAGGGGATGGAGGACTGAAAAAAATCTACGAACATTCAAACATGGTGGACCTGAAGATGATCGTGTAAGAAAGTGTGCTTTACAAAATGTGTTACCCAAAGCAAAAAGGGTTTCTATAGTATATTGTTTAAATTAAAACAAGGATTCTAATTGCCTGCGAAAGTTAAGATATTTCTTTTGCACACTTTCCAGTACAGGCGGTCCCCGGGTTACAAACAAGATAGGGTATGTAGGTTTGTTCTCAAGTTGAATTTACATATAAGTTTTTTGAATAGCATAGGGAAGGAAGGGTTAACACCCCTGTAATGTTTGTTTGTTTTTCTGTCTGTGCTCCTGTTCCCTTTGACAACTAGATTTTGAAAATGTTGGGTTGTTGTGGAAACAAGGACTGGTGATAAACCTTCAGTGGGAGACCCCTTTCTCCCATGAGAACTCATTCAGGAGTGAATTTCCCTTCCTAGAGGTAGTTATCCTCTCACTTCCTGTTTCTTCCTCTGTTTGTAAGTACAAGGTTGTTCATAACTCAGGGACTGCCTGTACCTTAATGTCCAAATCTAATCATACCTACTGTATGTGCTGAAGTTAGGGAGCTACAATATGCTGTATATTGTTAGCATTCTGCATTGTAGTTTGGGTGCTCTGAGTGTTCAATTAAAAAAATGGCCACTGATCATATAAATAAGGAAAAAGAATGGTCAAATTAATTTTTCAGCTTGTTGGGGGGGGAATCTATACAGGCCATTATTTGAGACTTGCACCAGCACAAAAAAATGCCCTATGGGTTGAAGTGCAAAAACTACCTAAAATAAACTTCTTCCACCAAAATCTTAAACACGTGTTTAATTAGTTGTTTATTCTTTTATTAAAATAATGTTAAGTACTTAAAGCCCAATCTCTAAAGGAAGCTAAAGTGGGTTCATATGCAGCCCCTACCAACTAAGTTTTTAGAGGGCCTCAATTTCACCTTGCTGTCATATGTTTGACTAAAACTACTATCCCCCTCACTTGAGAAGCATACCACAGACCATCATGTCTGGGCAACTCGAGAGATAATGACCCTTATTGGATAGGAAATTAATGAATTTTTCTGCCCCCCAAGACTAAGTACAACATCCCCAATTGGATGTTCTTTAGATCTTTGCAGCTTCGTCATGCAATTCACATGCAGCTCCTTACTAGAGAATCAGACCCTATTGAGAGGCTGCGTGATGGGGAAGCCTCGGCATTTACCTTAGACCCTCCCTTGCACATGCTATAAGCTAACGTGTACAAATCAGAAATGGAGGGATGATTTTCCAGACCTTAAGGAAGGTTACTGGGGCGACTGTACATGCAACTATGTCATGAATATGGCCTCGACCAAGGACACGTTTTCACAACTCAAGTTTTTGCATACAGCTTACTATTCACTCCAGAGATTTGCCAACATATCAATCAGCCAGCCCCCTGTGAATATGGTCAGTGAGCTGTAGACTCCTTCCAGCCTATGGTATGGACTTGCCCCCCTGTATTCGTCCCTTGTGGTCCACAGTGGTGACCGACATTAATAACATGAATGATCTAACCTTCAGAAATGGACCCTGAAGTGCTCTTGTAAGCTATTTTTGATAATGGTGCCTTGGGGACGTTAAAATAAACTGTTAATCTTTTATGTTACTTTCTATGCCTGAAGAAATTCTTTTACAATCAGACGTCACCTAACCCTCCCACAGCGACTTCCTGGTGTGCTGCTATTTACAAGGCTTGGCCAATGTATAAGCTAACCTTTGTTTTCAGTAGAAACAACCCCAAATTAAGATAAAATTTTAACCACTTGGATTGATTCGTAGGGCTCCAGCTGACCCCCTCCTCCCCTCCCAAGAGTCTTAACCATGGAGTACACAAATGACCTAGACAAACATCAATGGCACCACTACAGTAGGTTGGCCTTCGACTTGTTTTGTCAAGCAACTAGAATTCCAAAGGGCAAAAGCAAAAAAAAAAAAAAAAAAACCACTTCCTAAACAACTACATTTTCCCATGTTGGAAAATAAAATAAAAGCATTCATTTTGATGGCTACTTTAGATTACATCAATTTAAGAAAGCCAGTCTGAAATGGGTATTTGTGATGTCAAAATCTTAATCTCTAGCTATTGTACTAGAGTGACATAACCATAGGTTGTATTTTTGTTCTTGTTTTCTCTGCCTGCAACAGCAAAACGTAAAACTGCATGCCCCACAGTGGCTGATCCGGTTTCTGCCTGATCTGAGGACTGTTCTGTTTTCAGCCTTTGAATTGTGCAGAAGACTTAACAGTCCATCTGGGCTGCTGGAGAAGGGTAAAATAGTTAATTCCTGTAATTTTATTTCATGTAAACTAGACAGCAGCTTTTCATATATGACTTTTTCAGCACTAAACTCAGAATAGAGATACAGCTGTTTTATAGCTACATACTTCTGCACTGCCTGGGAAAAGTGAAGAAAAAAAAAAAAAAGTCCACACTGCCAGAACAAATCAAGGGTAAAGATTTGGATTACTACAAAAACACCCATTAGCGACTTGTTCTCTTTATTGTTAAGGGCAAACCTATAAAATTTTCCAGGTCTGTTCTCTTTTATCATTAACATGGATAATTAGTGAACCCTCCCGATTTAAAAACATGGATGGTGTAATATATGAAAGGTAATTCTGCTCAAGTTTTATCCGTTTTGATGCTGAGCTAATTAAAAAAAGGAGACCAATAGATGCTGGAATGCCACACCTAAGAAAGTTTTACTATGGTAGTATTTATAGGATTTGTTTCATAAATCGCTAATAACCAACTTATAGTTTCTGTAAGACAGGTCAAAACCCAAGCAACATTGATTAACGGTGTTCCAAAAGATTGAGAAGGACCTTGTTATGGCATTTGTGATTGGTTGTGTGCATTTTAACTATATTCAGCAAAAATGGTTTGTTGCAGTATTCTAGTGACAATATTAAACTGATTTGTAAAATAACTACACAGAGATAAACTTTTTTTTTACATTTAAATATTTTAACCATAATAAAGTTTATTTTTTTTAAATGTGAAGTTTCAAAATAAAAAAGGAAGAAATGTGGGCCCTAGTGGAAGAAGGTGACAATGCCAAAAGTTTAATGACTGAAGACCACTCTAATCCTACAGAGAAGAGATGCATCTAAATATTGGAGAACAATATGCTTAACCATGGAAAAAGCAGGCCCAATCAAATGGCTCCAGGAATGGTGCAGACGCTTGAAAGCATTAGTCCTAAGAAGGTATATGCACAGCAATGCATAGCTGACCACATACAGCAAATGCCAACTTAGGATATCTAGGGGGAAGTGTTAAACATTTTAAGTGAAAATATAGCTGTATGATGTAGTAATGGTAACAGTTAATATGCAGTATATATTGAAACTGAACTTTATTTGTACTCAAGTTACATCAATTTTTGCAGAAATTAGGTTTAACAAAAGTATTTAAGTTGCAGAAACAAGCAGCATTCAGCACATTAGCTGTTTTTTTTTAAACAGCATTTGTACTGTAGTAGAAGTGGTTAGGGCTGGTAAGCGCTATAACTGGTTCTTTATGTAATGAAAATCTTTGTTTTTTGAAAATGTTAGGTTTAAATTAACATTGTGTGCTTTTATTCAGATTCAGTTAGCCTTTCCTTGGTCTACAGAGGGTAGTCACACATGCAGATCACCCTCAAAGCAATACAACTTCACACCACAAATCGCTCCATAAAACTTCCAAGGGTGGCCCAGAAAAGCAACCTAGTTTATGCAAAAGCGGTGGGGAAGGGGGAGGGGGGGGTGTAGATGAAAGTTGCAGGCAGATTCTGCAGGTGCCACTTATCTTTGAGAACACTAGCAATCAGGACAGGCTTTCTTTAAGGTTTCCAGTGGAACACTGATGGCAGCCAGATAACTGCTAACAAACATGGCCACTGCCTGATATAGCTGCCATCTCATGCTTTAGTTATCAAACACTCAACTCCTGTTTAGCCTCTCAGAATACAGAGTAAACCAAACTCTCCAATAAGCTAACCTCTTTCCAGCTGCCAGATTCAAAAAGAACAGGGACCTCAAATGAGGGCAAGGTTTAATAGGATACTCCTAAAAGTGTAAGAGTAAAATGTGCCATCTTTATTTTATAGTTTCACAAAACCTTTTTAATACATGCAGGGATACCAACCAAAATGAAGAATAAAACGTCTGAATATTCCTGTGTTACCTGTTTGAAGAGCTTTCATCGCAAACTGCTCAGTTATCACTGCATTGCCTGACATTGCACTGCTACTACAGACAAGAAATAACAAGAAACATCTGCACCACATATTTGTTTCATTCACTATAAAGGCACCATAAATGATTATTTCTAGTGCTCAATCAGGGGCGGACTGACAACTCATGGGGCCTCCGGGCAATAGGGGATCATGGGGCCCCATGATCCCCAAACACAAAAAAGCCTATGAAAAAGGTACCAGGGGCATCTCATGGGGCCCCCTACTGACCCCGGGCCCTTGGGCAGTGCCCGAGTTTCCAAATGGTCAGTCCGCCCCTGTGCGCAATGCATGTCACTATAGACCATAAATTGCACAACCCAGGTACCACCCAAAATGTTTGTACTGGTTTGTGCAAGTGTCCTCCCTACACTTAAAACGTTACTAAATCCACAACAGTAAATCAGTCTGTATATTTAGTAAAGCATGCTTGTTATACTCACTGTGGAACCTAAAGGGTCAGAGGAGAATGAACACTAGTCCTACAAACTTCAACCAGTGCTCAGCTGGACACTGATAGAAGTCACAAGACTGCTATATACTGCTGATGAGTAAAGGTATTTAGCAGTTTATACTAAAATAATTGCATTTCCATGTTCTGTGTACTGTGAAAGACCGGATATAGTGAATGCTGGGTCATGGGTTTAGAAACCCTAACTAGAGCATAAGGAAGGCATCAGGGATCCATGTATGCATTTTGCTTAGCACAATTGGCTGTCTAGAATTATATGCAAAAGCATATAATAATGTGCATATAAATTAGAATTTAAAGCTCTTGGCAGGGAAACCATCAAACTACAGGCATGCAGAGCAGCTGTCTTCCTTGTTTTCATTGCTGTTCTTCAGTTACAGTGCAACTTGTAGACATGCGGAATGTAAACAATGAAATGTTTACTCTGACTTAAGTGCATGATGACAGCTCTCAAAACACATGGAAAGAAAAGATAGGCAACAGTTAATATCGGCAAAGTTAAATGGTATCCATAAATATATTAAAAAAAAAAAAAAAAAAAAGTATAATGGTTTAATATGGTTATATTTTATGTTCTAGGTTGAATCGCTATTATTGTTGATAATTCCAATAGAATTTATAAGTGGCCACTTCCAGATACAGGAAGGTTTGGCTGGTTGGTAGATTGCCAGCTTTACAGCATATTGTTTGTTCAGAACTACTGGTGTATAGGTCCAAAAATAGTCAACAGGCAAACTCTGTGGGTGAGAGGATTCAGGTGGAAGATGCTATCCCTCAGACTTCTATATTCTTAAAATCGGCACAAGCACATATTTGTAAGAACCTATTTAGGTTTGCTGTTAGCAAGCAACTTCTTAATAAGGATATAAATCACATTTATGCTGCATAAAAGACTCTATTCTTATCATTTGATAGTGGAATTACAAGAGCACTTTTTGTCAGCTACATTACCTATTCAGTCGAGTGGGTACAATTTAGCAGTGGTGGCTCTGTTTGCAATTAGCCTATGGCAAGTGCAGTTTATCCCCAAGTTGAATGTCCACCTGAAGTATTTATGTCTTTTTTTTGTATTTGCATTAACATTTTGTGTTTGCTATAAAGTTAACAGTGTACATGTTTCTGTAGTGTTTGGGTCTGGGAAGGGAGATTGTGTACCTCTACACTTACTTTTGATAGACTCGTGAAGAATGATTGCAGTGCAAGAGGAGAGTGCTACATTTGATTGTTCAACTAGTATGCAAAACGGGGAGCCATCATTTTTAACCTCCTGGAGGGCGCGTGTAAGACCAGTTTCTGCTGTCAAGTAAATCATCTCCACCACTAGGCCATGATCCTGCAATCGATGGCCTATGGCAGTGGCGTACTCCCTTTAAAAAGAGAAAATGAGGGTTACTGGCAAATGACAGACGATACGATTTTAACACTGAGACTGTGATGTTTTGTTATGTCAAATGGGTCAAAGCAATAACTTCATGTGAGGTGATCAAATTTAAGCATACCGGTGATGTGCAAACGGGCAATAGATTGCATTTAAATTTGGGGTAAAGATGTAAACACTGTAAGCAATAAATATATATATATATATATATATAAAAATAATATAAGAAACTGGTGGTGCAATGTTAACTGTCAAAGATACATGAAGATCTTACATCACAAATGTTATGATGCATCCAAGGACGATTTAAACTTGACTTATACATGTAATTACATAATGAAAAACAGAAATGCTAAAAGGTTTGGCAAATAAGTGAAATATTTTATATTAAATGGCCTTTTAATGAGGGGGGGAAAAAAAAAAAAAAAAAAAAAAAAAAAAAAAAAAAAAGGACACTTGACCGCATAAATTACATGGATTCCTCAGTGTTGTAATGTAGTTAAAATCTTCCACAACTAGCTCTGCTAGACTTTTATAGAGGGATGATCCCACCCATTATGTGCGAAAAAGAAAAAAAAAGGGGGGAGAGAGAGGATGGGAGGAGAGAGAGAGAGAGAGAGAGAGAGAGAGGGGGGGGGGGGAGAGAGAGAGAGAGGGAGAGGAGGGGAGAGAGAGAGAGAGAGAGAGAGAGAGAGAGAGGGAGAGGAGGGGGGAGGAGAGAGAGAGAGAGAGAGAGAGGGAGGGAGGAGGGGAGGAGAGAGAGAGAGAGAGAGAGAGAGGGAGGGAGGAGGGGAGGGGAGAGAGAGAGGAGAGCGGAGAGAGAGAGAGGAGAGGCGAGAGAGAGCGAGAGAGGAGGGGAGGGGAGGGGAGGAGGGGGGGAGAGAGAGAGAGAGAGAGAGGGGGGAGGGGAGAGAGAGAGAGGGGAGGGGGAGAGGAGAGAGAGAGGGGGGGGGAGGGGAGAGAGAGGGGAGAGAGGAGAGGGAGGGGGGAGGGGAGAGAGGAGAGAGAGGGGGGGGAGAGGAGGAGAGAGGGGAGAGAGGGAGGGAGGGGGAGAGAGGGAGAGAGGGGGAGAGAGAGGGGGGGAGGGAGAGAGAGAGAGAGAGAGGGGAGGGGGGGAGAGAGAGGGAGGGGGGAGGGGGGAGAGAGAGGGGAGGGGGGGGAGGGGGGAGAGAGAGGGGAGGGGGGAGAGAGAGGGGAGAGGGGGGGAGAGAGAGGGGAGGGGGGAGAGAGAGGGGAGGGGGGAGAGAGAGGGAGGGGGGAGAGAGAGAGGGGAGAGGGGGGGAGAGAGAGGGGAGGGGGGGAGAGAGAGAGGGGAGGGGGGAGAGAGGGGGAGAGGAGGGGAGAGAGAGGGGAGGGGGAGAGGGGAGAGAGGGAGAGAGAGGGGGAGGGAGGAGGAGAGAGAGGGGAGGGGAGGGAGAGAGGGGAGAGAGGGGAGAGAGGGAATGCACGGAGAGAGAGGGGGGAGATGAGAGAGGGGGAGAGGGGAGAGAGAGGAGAGAGGGGGAGGGGAGGGGAGAGAAAAGGGAACAACTTCAGTACAACCAGTCTGCCCATTCATGGATCGAAATTTGGGCTATTCAGCAGGAATCGATCAGTCTATGGCCAGCTTAACTGCAACTAGCTTCCTTTTCATTGTTTACCTTTCCTAGCTCAAATTAAGTTGAATTGGTCATTCCCTACAGTTTAGCATCAAAAACACACCAATCACTATGCTGCATCTCACACACCAATGTAAAATCACCATTTCTGGTCTGCACACAATCTTTAGAACATACCATGCTAAGGCGCGGAATTAAACATACAACAAAAAAAACACCTCAGACTTACCCATAACAATATATTTCTAGAAATATTTTAGGACAACACCTGGAAAGAACATAGTTTTCCAGGAAATATTGCAACTTCAAACTTTAAAAGCAGGACCACATTACAAAAGAGGGCAATCTCTTCTGTCCTGAAAGACTCCTAGAAATACTGTTACAAGTATAACCATGGTTTTCCCCAATTGTCTTTCAGGACAGCACCTGGAGAAGATAAGCAAGTACCCTAGGGTGGGACAAAAGCCTGTAGGACCTTCCTGCCAAATAACTGCTCTGTGGCCGACTAAAAATCCACCCTATAGTGCTGGATAAATGTAGAATAACTTGACCCAGTAGCCGAATAGCAGGTTTGCTCTGGCGATGCACCATTTCTGCCCAGGAAATAGACAGTGAATGGGCAGAATGGAATACAATATCTAAGGAATTCACAATCCCAGATGTGGCATAGGTTTCCCCAATATCCAGTCAAAGCCATCTTCCCAAGGGGGAAACAAAAAAAAAAAAAAAAAAAACCTCATATATCAAACATACTCTGACATCCAGTGTGCGGAAAACCTCTTCTGGACAAGAAGTTGAAGGACAAAAGTTAGGTAAAATAACTTCCTTGTCTGATGAAAAGAGGAAGAAATCTTTAGGAAGAAGCCTGGCTCTGTGCTGAGAACGATTCAATTTGGGAAGAACACTAAAAAAGGTTCATAAATCGACAAGGCCAGGAGCTCGCCAATTATATGAGCTGAAGTGACAGCCAACAAAAGAATTGTTTTCAATGTCAAAAATTTTAAAATAAGTCACTTCCAAGGCCTCAAAATGACTTCTTTGTAAGCCCTTGCAAAACAACAGAGAAATCCCACTTAGGCCTAGACCTGGCCAGAACATTTAAAAAAATTATTTTGACTGGAGGATCCTGAGATCCTGAAGTCCTTTCAAGAAAAAACTTATAAAGCTGCTATCTGGGTTTTAAGAGCATTACTTGCCAAGCCTTTCTCCACTCTGTCAAGAAGAAAATCCAGAACAGAAAAACTATATCCTTAGGAACATAATTATTTGCTGTGCACCAGGAAATATAGCATTTCCATGTCTTGAAATTAATGACCATTTTCCTATTGGACAAAGGGGTAGGGAAAAAAAAAAAAAAATAAAAAAAATTACTAGACAAGTACTTATCCTTAACATTTCTCTCTCTCAGAAGTCAGTCTGCTAACCTGAGGAGACTCCCTTTCGGATGAAACAGTGGCCTCTGAACCAGATCTTTTCTGCAAAAGGGAAAAGTAAATATCAACCAATGCATTTTTCTGATTTGCAAACAGGTTGCCTTGCAGGGGGAGGACAACTACTTCTGATCACCTAGGCGGTCGCAGCGAAATTGGGAGTGGGTTCATGTCAAAAATCTGGTAAACACCCGCCCCACCCCTGCTCTCTAGAGGTGGAAATCCTTAAAAGGAAGCAGGGGACAAGGGCTTAAAGCGGAATTTCCCCTTTTGTTTTGAGTGGAACATTTTAACCATGAATCCTAAGCTGCCTGGGCTTTGAGATGGGCACCCCATCCCAAGCACTTGCATAAGTAGTTAGTCTCTTGGGCCAGCGGGAAGGACCAAGACAGACCCTTGACAGGTTGGCCCAATTCCATCACACCACTATAGTGCTCTTTCAACATGAGCAGAAAGTTTGATTGTCTTTTTAAAAGATTACTGGTGGATTCAATTTCTGAAGGATGGATTGGTGAAGCAGCCAAGTGCGAAGACGGGCCCACTCCGCATAAATGGAGGCTGTTAGCAGGCTCAAGACTGACATGGCCACCTGAACTGAAGCAGAAAAGTTGGTGCTAATTTGGCCCAGGGCCAGCTGAATCTTTTCTGTCTTTTCTTCTGGCAGGAAAATATTTAAATAAAGTTAAATTCTATGGTGTAACCCCAAAATGACACTACTTGGACTGGAATAAAGTTAGATTTTTTCCAAGTTAAGAAGCCACCTCTGACTCTCCAGATGCTCCTGTGCTTTCAGCAGATACACCCTCAGCTGATCTATGGTAATGGCAAATAACAGCAGACTGTTCAAGTATGGCACTACTGAGGTCTCAAAAATAGTGCAGCCCAAAAGATATACCAATGAATGTAAAAAGAGTGTAATAACACTATACTATAGTATACTGAAACAATATAAATGTCCATATACAATTTTTTTTTTGGTAAAAAAAAAATAATGTTAAAAACTCAAAACACGGAAAACGCTGCTAAATGCTAATGCAATACAAAAAAAAAAAAAAAAAAAGCTGACGTGACTTTACACAGCTAACTTTACCCAGTGTGCATGGAGCCTAAATCATAAGGCTGTTCCATCAGAATGTCGGCCAGGTCTTCAGCCCTGGTCAATTCAAAGAGACTCAGCCGAGGCATCCGCCATATATCCAAAAGCCTTCAAAGAGAGTAGGGAAATCTCCAAATGTCTTCGAGGGGTACCTGCCTCAATATGCTCCTTCAGCTGATCAAGCCAATATTCAAGATATCTGGCCACAACTGTTGGAGAACATAAGAACATAGCTGGATTAAGATTGGGGGGGGGGGGGGAATGTGTTATGGTAGAAGTGGCCCTTCCATCCATGGCATCTTTAAGGATGCCTATAACCTCAAGCGCCAGATCTGTAGGCCTCTGGATAGATACCTGAAAAAATGTTGCATTCAGCCTTGGCTTTTTTTTCTTCCCACACAAAAGCCTCATCCTCAACAAAAGGGAATTTCTCCTAAGAGATTAGGAACAAAACAGCCCCCTATTCTGATTCCCTTTTTTACCACCTCAGAGAGGTCCTTATGTACTGGAAGAATCCGATTATTGATGCAGTCCCTAGTACATATGATCATTTAGGGATAACTGCACTTTTTCCTCCTGGGACTTCTACAGTAGTATAAATAGGTTTTAACAGGTCACCCACATCTGCTGAGGCGCTTGCTCCTGCTGCTGCCGCCACCAGTTCCGCTGGTTACATCTTGCAGATGTGCGCAGCGGAATACTGAGGCTTAAGCCTAAAACCTCCAGTTTAATCTGCCACTGCGCGGACCGAAAGAGAAGGAATCCAGCAAAAGGAGGACACACCCCTCTCCCTGTGTTCCAGCAGCAAAGAGGGCCTACGCCGTGCCAGAAGTCCCTCCTACCCAAAAATGATGTCATCTGCCAC